GGGGCAAATTAGAATTTGTCAGAAATAGATAACTTAAACATTTTCCATTTAGTTAGTATATAGTGAACACTATATTCTAATAAAAAGAAAATATAGTGTTTCCTTGCTATTATCAAAGCAGCCAGGTAATCAATCCAAAATTATATACTTTGCTTAATATACTCACTTGAATTCCTCTAAAAACTCCATGGGTATGTATTCTGTACTGGGCTCCACAGCTGTATAACATTGGGGCTGTGTGATTATCACTTTCATATCCGGTTGCATGGCTGAAAATAAAAAGAGGTCAAAGGTTGGAAATAAAACTTAATTCCTAAACCTCATTAGAAAAATGTTTGCAATATTTCTTCATTTATGCTAAAACCGTTTCAAAACATTTCAACAGTTTTAAAGCTCAAACATCCTATGTAGAAAAATACCCTGATTTTGCTAAAAACTTGGGCTGCAAAGAATGAATGTAAGTTTGGTTCACCTATACTTACAATGACCATACGTCCCTTTGTTATAAAGGACAGTCTGTAGGAGATGACCAGGCTGAGCCTTGAATTCCATTGATTCTTATCTACCGCTGCCAATTGGCTTTGACCATTAGTAGTTCAGATTCTTATAGAGTGCTTAACCTTGCAATAAACCTTTATGTTCATTTGAACTGCTGAGTTTCCTGATTTCTCACACTTAACCCAGTTCTTTATTTCAGGAAGCTGTCCTTTAGTTTTATTTATTTTGGAAAAACTCAACTTTTGTCTTTTATTTTGGGCATTTTACTTGTATTGTATAAATGGTGCCACTTAATACACCATTTTTCACATTCATATGAAAAATGTGGAAATTGAATTGTCTTTTAAATAGATATTTTATTAGAATATTTAGAATTGAAAAGTTTTTCTTGTTTTTGTTCTTTAATTTTCCTTCATTAAGCAAAGTTATAGATATAAACATTTTTTTTTATCCTTATGAAACTGTTCCAGCCTTGCCCCCTTTTCAGGTTTGTCCTTTATTTTTTCCAAAAAAATATGGTCATGGTAATCTATATTTTAACAACTGAATACTGAAACAATTTTTTTTTAAATAATAGAAGAAAACAGAGCCACAAAAACTAAGATTCCATATGTGCAGGTTATTTATCAGCTAAATGCCAAGTTGGTAATTACTAATATCTTTGGAATTAGCAAAATGCCTCAGGTTTCACATTAAGTGCAGTGGGTTTTTGTCAGCACCTCATGACTCAGATATAAGCAGATAGGACAGAGAAAGTGATGACATTTACAAGAAGAGCAGAACTGTAGGCACAGGATAGGGTTACAAATCAGTGTCCTAACTATTTTATTCATACATCAGCTTAGAAGATGAATTGTGGTTTAACCTTTAGCCAAATCAACAAAGAGATATTTCTATTCCCGATAGAAATCAATGATCTGTTTTATTTCCAGCAAAACAACAACTACATAAAACTATTTTATTTTACTTTTGAAATTTTAAATTCAAGGGTAGAAATCTGTTCACATTATTAATAATATGTGTTCTGCAATTCTCCCCAAATTTCAAATATCATGATCATTATAAGAATTTATGATGGCCTAGGTACAAAAATATTAAACATCAATGAAGTTAGTAAAATAAAACAAAACATTGGATGACATCAAGATGATCAACAGACAAACAAGAGTTGTAATTATGGATCACTTCGCATTAGTGCTTCATTTTCATTCCTGCTTGCTGCATAGTATTTTGCTACAATTGGGGTCAGAAGGGATTTGCAATCAGAAAAAAGTATATTCATATTAAAGTTATCTGTTTTCCTTGTGGAGGAAACAAGGGTAAAATGTAAATGTTGTGGCTGTCCCTGTGGATGCCATAGTAAAATAACACATGTAGAATTGTTTCAATATCCATGGATATTGAAACTGAATAGGATATTGAAATCCTATGGAATATAGAAATATTGAAGTCCCATGGGCAAACATGGTTTTTGTATGAGATCCTAGAATAGTTTTCTTATAATAGTACCCAAGGAAAAACATTATACCTTAACTTCCTTATGCCAAGCTATTTACCTTCCATCTTGATCATCCAGGTCTTGATTGTCCCAAGGGTGCTTTTCAAAAGGTAAATGGGCTTTCTTGGGTTTTGTTTGTTTTTTGTTTTTGAGAATGTTTGAAGAAAAACATTTTTCAAGCTTTGTGGGTGAGAAGTGAATTGAAGACACTGAAGAAGCTCAAGAGAACTGAAGAAGCTTGTTGAATGAGAAGCGAAACACTCTCTAGAAAAAAATCAAGGAAGTCTAGTTGCCTTTTGAAAAGCACCTTTGAGACTTCCATCTGAATACCATTTAGCCTTTGCAGAAGTATACCTTTGTCATGGTCATACCCTCAGGGATCGCCTTGCTAACCTCCATGTCTTTTGTTTTTCTTCTATGACATTGAATTTCAAATAGTTGAGGTACACTTTTCCTTCAGCTAAAAGTCAAAGTCTCTTAAGAATAGGGGAAAAGTGCGATTTCAATTGCCTTTTTTTCAATTACATATGGTTTACCTTGTATAATCACTGATAAGCCAAGAATTTTAAGTGCCAAAATATACTTTAAGTATTGCGTTCAGCTTATCTGCAGATGGGCTTATACATGCATATGTACAGCGTAAGAATTATTTACCCTGAAATGAGATCAGCATTTTGGCTTCAAATGGGATTTGGCTCCATTTGAGTTGCAGCCTCATAAGATGGCATACTGTTGAAATTACTGAACTAGGTGAAGAGTTAAACTTTTATTCAGCCAACTTTGTTAAGTTGGTTCAGCGTATGGTTTTAGGTCTCACAGAGCTCCTTTTTAACTAGGAACTATGTGATTTTTCCAAAATGTTAACTGAGAAATCTTAGATTATGTCAAAGCATTAAACTCTGATATACCCCAAATTATATTGTTTACGGTCATGAAGAATCATTTTAGTTTTATTTTTTATCTACAGCTTGTTTAAAATCAATTCTATTATAGGGAATGGAATGGAATAGAATGGACATTTTTATCCATTAACTTTATCTTTAATATTAGCCAGACTACTGTCTAAACCTCTCACGGATGAGGGGCAGGGCAATGACATGCGGACCTTATAATCCTTCACAAGGTAGGAAGAATCCACCACTGATGTCTGTTCCAAATAAACAGAACTGGATAAGATTTATGGAGTTGAATTTGTCTTAGGCATATCAGTTGATTTAATAATTTCCAGAGCCAAACTCTCCATAGAAAAGTAATAATTGAACAATGCCTCTATGTGAAAGTAACAGTTAACAATTTGCACTAAATCAGCCTAAGTGTTCCATCTTAAATAAACTTTAGAGGCATCACCAATTTAAAACAGCTAGTACATTCAAATATGTGTGAGTCATGGTTAAAGTCTCATAAAAAAGAAACTGATTAAGTGCCAGAACAAATTATTTTTATAATGCTAATATAATATGCTCCCAGTTCTGATATTTAGCGCCAAGAGAAAAGGAGAAAGGAAGGAAGGATTATATAATATCAATAAGTATACATGTCCTAGCAATCAATGAATATACAACAAGGAAACAAAAAACAATACCTGAAAAATGTCAAATAAAGGCTATTTAGCTATCTGAAAATCCCTTAAAACCCCTTCTAGTCAAGGCAGAATGTATTAAATTAATTAATCATAATGTTATATAGTTTGTATATAAGTGGTAAAACAGAATATATTGTGTGATGAAAAACAGAGCAGCTCTGAAGACTCACTTTAGTGTGGTTTTAAAAAAATCTTGAAAGATTAATTTCTAATCTGAAAAGTATGAAACTTTCAATTACTTCATTACACCACTGTTATTTTGTTACACTGGCAAAATTCATATGATTCATAACCTACATTCCCAAGTTAATAAAGCTACACTAAGCATTTCTGAAGAACACAGTGACAAGTTAGCAAACATCAGCATGAAACATGAATACAGAACAATTCATCATAATCAGACTTGAATATTTTAAAAATAGTTGGGGGGTGGGCGAGAAGAGTTTACATAGAACAGACCCTACATTAAGCTATACACATTTTAAAGAAGAAATTGGCATGCTTGCATATAGAAATAGCCAAAAATGTGAGGCACAGGAAAAATGCCATTTTGGTTTAGAGACAAATGAAAAGGAGTTTCTTTTTACCAGTTTACTTAAGATATTTCTTATTGGAATACGTGAAAATATCCATCATCTTTTTTAAAAAAAATATAACTATTAAAGCAGCTAAATTAGATTTGGGGGGCAATACGCTGACTCTGTAAACTGCTTAGAGAGTTCTGTAAAGCACTATTGCTACTGCTATTATCAAAATGGGTTAGGATTTTAAAAAAAACATATTTGCTGAAGTATCCTCATTGGTTAAGATCAGTGTTGTACCCTTTGCCTTTGCCTTTGCCTATAGAGTTAGGGTTAGGATGCTCTTACAATATATCCCTTCATTTTTAGTAGCTTTAAGCATGTGAGTGGATTACATTAAATTAATCTAATACAGTATGGTTTTGCTTTCATTCAGATAGTGGGGTAAATTTGAGGAGGAAGGAGTTTTAAGTAAATTTGCTGCCTTGAGTTATTTACAAAAATATTAAAGGTGAGATTTAAATAAATAAATAAATGGCCTTTCTACTGATACAGGTTGTCCTCTCCTGTTGAAGACCCACATTACCATTCCATTCTCATTCCATTCCTTCATTAATCCTCATAGACAGCTCTGGACACCAAGGGCCCCAGTGACAAGGTAGTGGTGAAGGTGGTTATTGTATGAGAGTTCTTTTCATGCATCTAAGGGCGCAAACCATGGTTATTGCAGCACTTGTTACTTTTAGGCTTACTGGCTCAACTTGAATTATTCAGACTTGCAATAAAATTGAATGTTTCATTGTACTAACTACTGGTAGTTTTGGTGATCCTGTGTTCTAACACAATACTCATCACAATACTCATCAAGTGTATTGATGTGCAGCAGCAGCCAAAAAAGCTAATACAATCCTGGGTTGTATAAACAGAGGCATAGAATCAAGATCACGTGAAGTATTAGTACCGCTTTATAAAACCCTAGTGAGACCACACCTGGAATACTGCAGCCAATTTTGGACACCATACTACAAAAAAGATGTTGAGACCTTGGAAAAAGTTCAGAGAAGAGCAACTAATACTAAGATGATCCAAGGCCTGAAGACTAAAACATATGAAGAACGGCTGCAGGACTTGGGTTTGGCTAGTCTAAAGAAAAGAAGAAATAGGGGTGAC